ACTAACTAACTGACTGACTAACTAACTGACTGACTGACTGACTGACTAACTAACTAACTAACTAACTGACTGACTGACTGACTGACTGACTGACTGACTAACTAACTAACTAACTAACTAATGTCCATCTGTAAACACACAGACCTGGAGGTTGAAGCAGTTTGAAAACTAACAGTTTTTACTCTTAATATACATTCTTTTATTTTTCAATAAATCTGTAGAATAACTGCATGTTTGCTGATTTAAAAACAGTAAAATAAAAATATTAAATCTAACTCGTGGCTGCAGGTCAAAGCAACTAAAAGAATCATTTCTATGCGTCAGTCCTTAAAACACAAAATGTTTCTGTGAAGCAAAATAACGATTTTCTGTTTGTGTCAACAAACTGTTCATCTTTTGTCACTTTACAGTTAAATGTGGTAATAAAGTGAGTTTCCATGTAGAACCGTGGACGTGCATTTTATTTACAGCTTTATTTGTTTGTTTGTTTGTTTGAGGGTTAAATGAATACTTGTTTCTTTAATTATTAGTTATTTTCGGTAGTTTAAATAAAGGAAGAATCTGTCACAATAATAATAAATATTCGTATTTAATTTAACGTGATTACTGAACATAAACGTTGGGCTTTCTGCCGCCTTATTCCGGCCCGTCTGGGAGGATCAGCTCCTCACAGGAACATCTGTCCTGCAGCCTCTGGACGTCTCCGACTCTTTGTGCGGCTGAACAACGGCGGCTCTGTTCGTCTGCAGCCGACCACACAGCTCCTTTTATCGCCCACATTCAGGACAGAAGCAGAGTGAAGTCCAGAGAGTCGATTAACCCCCGAAGCGTCGCTCTGCCAGCTTTCCTCTGCAGCGACGCCCAGTTTTCCACCAGAGAGCGAAGAAAGAAAAAAAAACATGCGAGTGTTTGAAAGTGAAAGAATGTGTTTGGAGGGAAGAGAGCAGAGCACATGACTGCATTCCTGAAGCCAGAGACGAGGGAGGAAAGAGGAGACGGAGGAGGGAGGAGAGAAAGAAAGGAGGGGAGAAAGGAAGGATGAAGGAGGGAGGAAAGAGGAGACGGAGGAAAGAAAGAGGTGGAGGGAAGAGCAGAAAGTGGAAAAGCAAAGAGAAGGAAGAAGAAGAGAGAACTGGAAGAAACTGGAGAGACAGATGGTGAGGAGTAAACGGGGGGAAGGGAAGTGAAGGAAAACAGAGAAAAGAGAGACGGAAGAGAGAAGAAGAAGGAAGGAGAGAGGGAGAGGAAAGAAAAACGACAGCAAAGAAAGAAGAAAGTGAAGAAGAGAGAAATAAAAGAAGAACAGGTGAAGGGACTCCAGCTCCCAGGATGCACTGCTGCTGCTGCTCAGCCTCAGCTGCAGGAGAAGCTGCTTCATCTGAGTTTATTCAAACTAGAACTTTAATCTGGATCCTGAAGGTGATTAAACCTCTGACTGTCTCCAGCTGACGGTAAAACCAACAAAGTTATAATAAAAATAAGACCTCTGAAACAAATCGACTGCTCGAACCAGAGCCCGTAAAATATGAAAACGTTTGTTGTTCTTGGTGCAGCTGAACCAGGCTGATCCGGACTGAACCGGGCTGAACCGGGCTGAACCGGGCATAACTTCAGGCAGTGTTTCCAGAGCAGTCCGGACAGACTCCTGATTTCACTCCTGGTTGTGACTGTGGTGATGTTTGTTGGTTCCATGATCTGTGGCTGATCAGCGTGTTGCTCCAGAACCTGAGCAGCTCGCTGGTTCCTGGTTTTTACACTTTTGTTGAATAAAGACACGTAACGAGGTTCGAGTCGCTGTGTTCCAGGTCACATTGGACAAGTTTCACTTCTTTCACTCCGGTTCGATTCCTTTAAGTTTCGAGTCGTTGTGAAAAACTTTCGAGTCTTTATGGACAAACTTTGAGTTGTTTTGTTCCAGTTTCAGGTCATTCTGGACCAGGTTCAAGTCACTCTGGACCAGGTTCACCTCAGTCCTGCACGTCTGCTGCTCGTCCAATCGGACGGCGCTGCCGGTTGCGTAACGCTAATCCTTCCTGGATCAGCTGGTCTCTGGGCGGCGTCCAGCCAGGACCTCCAACTGGGTTTGTGGAGCGGCGCTCAGTAATCGCTGCGTTATGCAACCAGCTCCTTCATCTCTGCCTCCTCCTCAGCAGCAGGACTGAAGCACTGGAGTCGTCCTGAACACGACCCAGTGACCCGGTGACCCGGTGACTCGGTGACTCAGTGACCCGTCGACCTCCCTCAGCTCCGACTGGACTCCAGCAGAACCACAGAACTGTTCAGGTTTCTATATTTCACATATAAAGCCCTGAATGTTGGCGCTCTTTAACCCTCCAGTGCTTTTATCTCCAGTCTGGTCCATGTTTCTCTGCAGCTCTGTGGAACCAGAACCTCATGAAGGAGGACAGAGAACCCGTTTACATCCTAAAGCTTCGACAAACACAACAAAATGCCCCAAACCATTCAAAGGTTGTGCAGAATCTTTTGAAACGTGTCAAAATAGTCTGACACTCGTTCAAAATGACTTGAAGCTTAAATAAAGGACTCAAACCTGAATGAAAGAACCAGAACTTCTCCAACGGACCTGAAACTGGAACCAAACGAACTTGAAGGGAAATCAGAATATCTTAATATTTATTGAACAAAACTGTAAAACCAGGATCTGAACTCTGGATCTTGGCGTCTCCTCAGATGTTCAACCATCTACAGCTTCATTTGCTTCCTGCCTGCACTTCAAAGTAAAAGCCCCGTAGTTTCAGTCCGTCCAGGCGTCACGGTTCTGCAGCTCAGAACCTTTTCAAAGCAAACTGCTTGTTTTTGGTTTAAACCAGATAAAAGATCACGACTTTAATTCTCTCGAGTGAAATCGTAAATGTGCAGTTTTATTGTGTTTAAAACAGAAAAAAAATATTTCACATGTTTTTGCCATTTATAGAAAATATTTAAAGAAATAAAATCACAGAAAAAGCATGAATTGTTGTTGTTAACTGTTGTTACTATGGTGACAGACCAAAAGTGTAAATAAAAGCGACGTATTGTGAATCTCCTGGTTGGTTGTTTTTGTATTTCTGCTGACATGCGATGACTTCACAGACGTGTTATTTGATTGAACGTCTTCTGTGCTCCTCGCTGCCTGCTTTGTTGATCTACAGACGACAGATCATCACGTCGACATGTTCACGTCCAGCAAACATGAAAAACAGTTTGTGTGCAAATAAATGTGTGGACGGAAACCGGACGGGAGGACTGACGTTTCTCTTTCTTACTTTTGGAGTAAAACACGTTTCAGTCTAAATCGACTGTTGCTGTCACAAGCAAACTGTTGTTTTAGTTGATATTAAAAAAGAAAATCTGCTTCTTTCAAAGTGAGTAAAATAAGAAACTGGTGTTTGTCTTCGAGCTTCTATCTGCTGCACCGTGAACGTTCTCATAAACTCATCAGGCTTCAGCTGGTTCTGCTGCTTCATGTTTCTGGTTCTGGCTGCAGGTGTCTCAGTGGTTAGCATCGTGGCCTCACAGCTAGAAGGTCGCTGGTTGGCGTCCCGGTGAGGACACCCGGGATCTTCCTGCGTGGAGTCTCCATGTTCTCCCCGTGCAGCGTGGGTTCTCTCCGGGTTCTCCGGCTTCCTCCCACAGTCCACAAACATGCTGAGGTTAATTGGTGATTGTAAATTGTCCGTAGGTGTGAATGTGAGTGTGCTTGGTTGTCTGTCTCTAAGTGTAGCCCTGTGATAGGCTGGTTACCTGTCCAGGTGAACCTGCCTTCACCCTGAGTCAGCTGGGATAGACTCCGCCCCCCATGACCCTGGTGAGGATTAAGGTGTAGAGATGATGGATGATGGATGGATGGATGATGGATGGATGGATGGATGATGGATGGATGATGGATGGATGGATGGATGACGTTTCTGTTTCCATGACTGATCTTTTCTCTGATTTCAGGGTTTCTCCACTAACCTGCTCCACGTCAGCAGCAACATGAACGTCAGAGGACAGATTTGGCTGCAATGAACAAATCACTGAATGTAAATGTTTCAGCTCCACAAAAGACGAGCTGGACCGAAGTCGAGCTCAGAACCCTCCCCTGAGCTGCAGGCCGAAGCCTCCAGCTGACCCTCAGCAGAGCGCTGGACAGAAGGTCCTCCATCAGGAACAAACCATCTGATGAATGCACAACAATCTGAGAGTTTCATCACTGAGTCTGAGAAGCACCGCCAGGTTTACAGCTGACATTCATTCATTCATTCATTCATTCATTCACTCAACACGTGGATGCAGCTTCTCTCCTCCACAGTGTGAGTTCTGCCTCCTTCTCCTATTTAAGGATGAACTGGTTCTGAGCAGACGTCACACGAGGCCGATATCAGAACCGTTCCTGGTGAAGGCGGCGCCGGCAGCGCGAGGCGTGGCGGTGCGTCGGAGCATATGGGCTGAGGCAGCAGGACGTCCAGCAGGAACCGGAGCCCTCCAACGCCTCAGAGACCATCTGCTCTGAAACCGACCCAGCTCCGCTCGCCGCTAGCGCTTCTGTCGCCACGGCGACCTCCGCCAGAGCAGCCTCAGATACGAAGCAGAGATTTAAAACAGAGCGACGATAAAGCAGAGTCATAAATAATTAGAGTCCAGAAATAAAAGAGATTCAGAGAAATGTGAGGAAACAAAGAGCAGAACGGTTCCCAACAGAATAAAAACTGGAGTCACAGAACAGAGCCCGAGTTCAGAGGAAAGAAGACGTTTAAACGGGTTTAAGGAAATAAACAGAACCTCACTGATGGGTCAGAACACGTCTAAAAAAACTGAAAAAATGTCAGCAAATGTCTGTAAAATAACAATGTTTTCAATTAAATACAGTAAAACTGTAAAACGTATTTTTAAACATAAAAGAACAAATGAATATTTATTAACTACAGATTGTTGATGTGGACTTATTAACACTTTGGGCCTGTTTTTTAATTAACATGTCAATTAAGTCAACAGGAGGAATAACAGTTTAACATGATCGACCAGTTCTCACTGATTAAGATCCATGTTTTAAAGTCATAATAAGATTTTTTTCCCCTAAATAACAGCAGCTATCTTTAAAATCTGGATGTGTTTGCTGATATAAGTACATGTGTGTTACTCAGATGTTTTTCTAGAACCTCCCAGTCAATAATAAACGGTTTGTTTCAGCGCCTGAATGTTTCCTCCAACCAGTCAGCGCCGGGTCTCTGAGGTCTGGAGTCAGTGGGATGAGACCAGACGTCACTCGTCACAGCTCAGCGACTGATCCTGGAGCTGTTCGTACGCGTTTGTTTGCATTTCTGAGCCAAACGTTGCACGTCGACCGATCTGATAAGAACCGAAGCACGACGATGAGCTTCAGGGTTTCATTCCAGCCGGCCTCGGTGCTGCTGGTCTGGAAATACGAGCCGACACCAGGAGCTGAGCCCGTCCTGCGCCGCCGTCCGCCGGCCAGAACGTCTGACTGCTGCTTACATCAGCAGCAATGTCATGTCAGATGTTTGCTGCTGCTGAAGAGGATGCAGTTCCACCATAGCAGGATTTTAGCATCACCTTCTGAGCTTTGAAAAGTTATTTTCCATTATGTGTCCATAGCACACGGTTTGGACCCTCCCACTTCACTCAGCATCAGAGACTGTTCAGCACCTCCACCACCATCAGCTGTTTCTGTAACCACTACAACCCAGTGGAACATCTGACCACATAAGAACTGTGTTTCTGTCTGCTGTTAGAAAAACCAGCTGAAGAACTTACTGAAGGACAGTCAGAGCCACCACCATTCAGGTCTCTTTAACTTGGATTGTGTGTGATGTTGTGTTTCACCGTGTCCTGCATTTACAGTCCAGCTCTGTCGGGACACTGTGATGTTCTCATTGTGACCTGCCACCATCGAACATGGCCGCTTTTTAAATAAACTTTTAAAAAACTAAATTTAAAAAAATCTGTATATTAAGGATTCAAAAATCATTTTTGTTGTTTTAAAGAT